GAATGAGACGCTTAAATAGGCTCCAAGTTCCCGGATTTAGGGTTTTCCTCGTTCAGACCCAACTCGTCGAGTCTCCTTGGCCGACTCGCCGAGTCGGTTGCTTTCACCACAACCCGGATCCCGATCGGACTCGCCGAGTCCCTCCATGGACTCGCCGCGTCTCCCCTAAACTTGAGGTTTTCTTTCTTTTCTTGGCTTTCCAAACTTTAGGGTGTTACAGCGTGGCCCAGTATGTGCAGTATGTGGTTATGCATGGTATGTAGTAGGGTGGGGAACTCACTAAGCTTCGTGCTTACGGTTTTCAGTTTTGGTTTCAGGTACTTCCGGTAGCGGAGGGAAGAGCTCGGGGTGATCGCATGGCACACACCATAGATTAGATAGCCTGGGCATGTTTTACTATGATAATGAACATGTGTTTTGGAAATTAATACTCTGGTTATGATATGGATTGATAATTATGTTTTAAGTAATGTTTTATAAAAGAAATTTTTAGTCTCGAATTTTGGAACGTTACATACTCTGTCCAAATGATTTATCTCATTATACCATGCAATAAAATATACATCCATGCGTGTTAGGATAGAAAACTAGTAGAGTAGAGCTGATAAAATAGTCTTTATGTGCTTAAGTATAAATAGGTAGAGTATAAAGTATAAATGTGCCTATAGTAGTAGAGCCCGAAAGCATAATCTTTATGTATGTAATATGATTATGAATGTTGGGTAGGATCCATTATATATGTATGCCGAGCTGGGCCCGCCATGTAGTTTGGGTGGGGACCCTTCTATAGTGTGGGCGAGGCCCATTGTATTCATGTGTGTGTGTGGGTGTGTGTGTGTGTATACACACACACATAATGGTATATGGTACCTTGGGAAACTTACTAAGTTTTATTTTTATCTAGTTGAAGATAAATGTTTTTCAGATACTCGTGTGAAATGCACGGTTCTACTGTACACACGTACATTTACAACATGTTTCCACACAATGTAGTGATACTCTGATATATTATAATAAATAAAAAATAATTTTTTTAGGTTGAAACGTGATGTTACAAATTAAGCTCCAATGCTTCCTAGAACGCATCCTCAAATTGTTGTATTCTCATTATGCTCTAATTTACCCTGAAAATCATAACAAAAGTGAGTTGTACGGACATTCTATAAATGTAAAGAGAAATACACAATTCATAATAATAATAGGGAGATAGTTAGCTTTTTACAAAAAATACCGAGAAAATCATGTTAAAAGATGCATATAAAATACATCTAACAAACAACTTATAACATATCATCACATACATGAGCATCTACGTGTCTTCTACTCTTTATTAAACAATGTTTAACTATATTATGAGTCTGACCAAGTTTAATAGGTTAAAACTAACCCAATATGCATTCCTGGATAACATGTCGCATTCCAGCTTACTTATTGTGGTTATTGACCTAACGCGTCGTGTTCTATAGTCATATGCATTGTGTTTTTGAATGATTAAACCCTAATTATATCCGTTATGGAACCATAAAAACCCCATCGAGTCTTCCTTTAGGACATAAACTTGTAACATAATCATGATATGGTAGCCAAAAATCATAAAGTACATTTTGAGCACCAAAACACCATCAAACCCTAGTTATTGTGCATACATCACAAGTCCTAAACCTTTAAAACCCCCCCCCCCCCCCCCCCCCCCAAAAAAAAAAAAAAAAAAAAAAAAAAAACCTAGCCTAATGTTTCAAAGACATAAACCTTACCTCTGGAGAAACATGAGCAAGGAGGTGATGATGGCTTAGTCTTTTTCAAAAGCTTCTTGCTTCAAACGTACATCAAAAGAAGCTTCTCTTCTTGCCTTAGAAATGGTGGCAACTGGGACATACTATATCAACTTCTAGACCTTGATATGAATATCCCTCCAGTCAAAACCTTCGTATATGTCTTAGGAATCTTCAGTTAAAAAATAACGATGATCCAAGGGTTTAATGTATGGGCATCATCCACATAAAACTCTTTTACATTCATATATCCATATATCCCATTAAGGTTTTTAATTTTATATTTCAACCCCTTTTTAAAGTTCCTTGTTTTGATTTTTTTACATAACCATCGACTAACGGAATAAATCTTTAATCTCGACTAATAGGAAAATTCTAGGTGTATTACAATGGTTCTTCCAAAGATGCAAGTTATTCATTAAGAAATCCTTAATTTATTAATTAGAAATTGGGGTGTTACACGAAAACATACTAAAATCCAAATAAAACAAATAGTTTTGCACATATATTTAATTTGAAGCATTTGAAAATAATTGATTCATAATTTGGTCATCACTCTATCCACTTTGTACTTCAGATGTAAACATAGTGTTATCTTCAAAGTCTATAAATAATTGATCGTGAATTTTGTATTTCCTTTTGAATTTATAGATTCTGCAACAAGAAACGACTACGTTTCTTTGTACTATATACAATGTGATAAGAATCCATTTTCTTTAGGACTAGGAATCTCACATTCAAAGCATCTTTCTTTAGGATTAGGAATCTCACATTCAAAGCATCATAAGGTCAGATTGTAATCCATATATATAGAGACACATAATCTGGAAATTGTGTGTGATGAAATAGTGTTGTAAATCAACTGTAGCACTATTGCATACAAACGGAACCATTGTTCTGGATCCATGGTGACCGTTTTGGCAGAGTCTTTTTCTTTCTCAGAGGAAGAAGAGGAAGTACGAGGAGGTTGTATTGCTTTCGGTTGAATGTGATCAATTACCTTAAAGGCATGAAAGTGGATTTTAAAGAGTTCTGTATATTACCCACTTTACATCTCCAGAGTGAACGGGATGAAGTTCCTGATGTAGGTCACTGTAATCGCGGGATGAAATTTTCCTTCCATGTTGATGTTGTTGAGAGATTATATGAAGATGAAGAATATGAAATCGGAGAAGGAGGGATAGATGAAAAATGGCGCTATAAGGATACTAATAATTGTATGTCCTTTATTGATGATATTGAATCAAATATATATGGATTACAATCTGACCTAAAAGTATATATGGTAAATATTTACCCTTTGAATATTTTACATAACTACAATATATATTGCTAATAATACCAAGCAAAATCAGCAAAATTCCATGTATTTCAGCAACATACCAAGTAAAATAAAGAAAATCAAGCAACATTTTCACATTTTAGCAAGGTTGCAACGACATTTTAACACATAACACCAAAAAAACAAATCAACACAATAACACCATATTTCAACACAAGAACATCACACAAATCATACATAAGAACTCGATTTTCAGATAGCATATTTCAAAATCAGAATTTTTACAAGAGGGGTGATGTTGCTGGTAGAGGATGGCGCCGAAGAAGAGGTGGTGCTGGCGGAGGGGGCAATGGGGGCTTGGTGGCGCTGGCGGAGTGGAGGTACTGTTGGCAGAGAGGGAGTCGGCTACTAGAGAGAAAGGTTATGTTTGGTCTCTTGGTTGGTTTCAACACGTATTGGGAAAAAGTGGAAAAAATATATTTTCTTTCAGGCATCGGTTATCTAATATCTAGCAAATTAGAGGCTGCCAAGCCGACCCGGTTCAGACGGTGGGAAACTCAGGCAGTTATTTAGGACCCATGTCTCTAAGAGGTTTATAATTCCTAGAATATATGATATATACATAGAGAGAGAAAACAATCAACTTATCTAAAAATGTTAGGAAAAATAATTTTATTTAAATTAGTTGTTTTTGTAATGTTGTGGTCATACTTTTGCTTTTCAATATTAATAGTGAATTTTATACCGGTTTGTCTATTTTATGATTTTAAGGGTTCATTTTTTCTTTTTGCCCTGAGCCCACTATATCTTTAAACCGGCTTTGCTAAGCCATTTAGATTCATGCAAAATGTTCAACCATATGCTCGACTGATTCAAAGCATATCTCTTATTGGAACCATTAAGAGGATTATCGAATAGCCTTTTAAGTAATGACATAAACCCTTTTTAATGCTTCGATATACAAATTATTATATTAAAAAATACTATTGGATATTTGGATATAATACAATAATAAACATATATTACCTTTAACAACAATAACCAAAATATAAGCATTTAAAGGGACTAATTTTGTTTATTTAACTAAAAAAGCTAATGAGACTTGGGGTGAAAATCGGATAAATGAAAACTCAAGCAAATTGCGATGTAGCAAAGATTTTTCGAATTGAAATATAACGTGTTCATTTCCTTGAAATTGATCTTAAGCATTTAAAGCCAAAATAGTTAAATTTTGGCTTTTATGTAATAAACATTTGTGGAGCATACCATTCATTTACTTTTGTTAAATAAACTTAAATAACTAATGCAGTGTCACTATTCTTTGTTGGAGCATTTTCACGGCAGCCCACCAAACTGCTGGTTGTTGAGATATTAATTGTTTTTGGGTGGGTGGGTGGATGCTGGATTTTAGATGGGTAAAATGATTAATTTATTTTTTGTTAAAAAAATGATCAATAAAGTTTTGGGCTGCAGATAAATGAAACCCGGACCAGATAACACTATAATGATAAATTTTATAATACAAGCATTAAACCGTTCATTTCCTTGAAATTGATTTCAAGCATTCAAAGCCAAATTTAACTTATATGTTGCTTCTGCCATGGGAGTTGGGGAATAGAGACTTGGCAATAAGTTGCTCTTCAATTCTGTACTCATAAATAAACTAGTAACTTTATCATACGAAACCATTACTCCATTATAAAAATCCATCCTTCCACTTCAACTTCCTTCTAAACTAAAACTAGTCAAGCTTAAAAATGTGGAATTCAAGGGTTTTGGGGCTCCCTCTCGTTTTTGTATGTGTTTTGTTTGTTGCCACAACATATACTTGTTTGGTTCTTGGAAATGTCAGTGTTAGTATCAGTGTCAATGTAAGTATCGTTTGCTCTAAGCAAGAGAGACTTGCTCTTCTCAAGTTCAAACAAAGTGTGAAAGATCCCTCGGGAATGTTGTCATCATGGGTTGGCAGTAACTGTTGCTTGTGGGAAAGAATCTTATGCCACAAAGTCACTGGAAATGTGGAAGGCCTTTATCTCAGAGGAGACATGGCATATCTTTTTGATCCTGAAAATGATGATGGAAACTACCTAATTGGTAATGAGGTGAACTCTTCTTTGGAAGAGTTGATTCATCTGAAATACTTGGACTTGAGTGGGAATGATTTTCAAGGAAGTATGATCCCTGAGTTTATTGGAACCTTGAAGCAGTTGAGCTACCTCAATCTCTCGTATGCTGATTTTCAAGGTATTATTCCTCATCATATTGGGAATCTTTCTAATATAAAGGTTCTTGATCTAAGTTCAAACTTAGAGTTGATAGCAGATGATATGTCATGGACACTTGGCCTTTCATCACTCGAGCATCTCGACTTAAGTTCATTAGATCTTAGTGGAACACAAAACTCGGACATGGTGCTTTACATGATTCCTTCATTAGAATCGTTAAATTTGCATAGTTGTGGAGTTTCCATTCCTTTTCTTAATTCGAGTAGAATACTTCCCAACATCAAACACTTGGATCTTGGCTTCAATTCTTTCAAAACTTTTCTCCCTACAATTCTTCAAAACATGACATCCCTTCAATTCCTGGATCTTTCTTCATTTGATCTTAGTTTCATAGGAAGCCTTGTAACCTTGCTAAACATGATCCCTTCTTTATCAGAATTGCATTTGTCAAATTGTGGGATTGATAAGACGTTTCTATCCACCCCTCATCTTAATCTCAGTACATTTTATGACATCCAACATCTGGATCTTAGCGATAATTCAGTTGAAGGGACATTTCCATCACTTTTAACAAACATGAGTTCCTTAAGAGTCCTTGAGCTTTCAGGAAACATGTTGAATTCATCGGTTCCTAATATGCCTAATCTTCTAGAGCTTGATCTTTCATCTAATGAGTTTAAGCAGATTGAACATATTGGAATCTGGAGGCTTTGTCACTTGAAACAATTGAGTGCATCACAAAATCCAATTGATATAGAAATTATTGAATCATTAAAAAATGTTTCAGAATGCTCCCATTATGCTTTAGAGAGGTTGTTTTTACAGTTGAGTTTAAATGGTACAATTCCAGAACTACTTGGAAGGTTTACCGATTTAAGTGGCTTACATTTATCTGGAAACAGATTAACAGGTCCAATTCCTGAATCTATAAGAAGCTTACAATTTTTACAAGTATTAGATCTATCTGAAAACATGTTAACTGGTCACATTCCAACATTCCTTGGGAGACTTTCTTATCTTGATCTTTCTTCTAATTTGTTAAATGGGAGAATTCCAGAATCGATTGGAGAATTATCCGATTTAACATATTTGAATTTGGGATCCAATCAGTTAATGGGCCCCATCCCATCATCTCTAGGAAGACTTGTTTCTTTACAAACAATTTCATTATCTTCAAATATGTTAAATGGGAATATTCCAGTTTCATTTGGGCAACTTTTGAAACTCCGTTCTCTAGTTATCTCTAACAATTTTCTAGAAGGAGTAGTTTCTGAAGCTCATTTTTCCGACCTTTCGATGTTGAAGAAGTTGGATGCTTCTTCTAATCGTAAGTTGACATTCAATGTTTCACATGAGTGGATACCTCAATTCAAATTGGTAAGTCTTCGACTCAGTTCTTGCAAAATCGAAAAAGGATTTCCACAGTGGCTTCGAAATCAAAGGGAACTTAAAACGTTAGTGTTGTCCAATGCTTCAATCTCAGGACCTCTTCCTACATGGTTGCAGAAGATGCCCATCATTCCTTACTTAGACCTCTCCCACAACAAACTCAGTGGTTCTTTGATAAACCTTCCGAATGGGGGGAATTTCCATGCTTCTGCATACTGGGCGTTATTTCTAGGAAATAATCTTTTCAATGGGTCGATTCCAAGGTCTTTATGCAAGAGAGATTTGGACTTTCTTGATCTTTCCAAAAATAAGTTAACAGGGAAAATTCCTAACTGTTTTGATAGTATGAAAAGGTTGATGACCATGATATTTAGCTCAAATCGGTTGTCTGGTGTTGTTCCAAATACAATAGCTCGTAATTCGTTATCATTACTTCGATTAAGTTTGAATGACAACAGCTTTGTTGGTGAACTTCCTCAAGAATTGGGGAATTTAGGAGATTTGTGTATCTTAGATTTGGGTGATAATGAATTCTCTGGAAACATACCTGAATGGATTGGGGAAAACCTTACATCCTTGATAGTTTTGAGGTTACACAACAATAATTTCATCGGACGAATTCCTCAATCATTGTGTAAAGCTTCAAATCTTCAAATTTTGGATGTTGCTTACAACAACTTAACAGGAATCATTCCTCAATGTCTTGGAGAGTTGAAAGCCATGGTTAATAGTAGCGGAGTACATTCAATGATTATCCCTTTTGATTCTGATGAGAACGTGTTTCAAGTCATGAAAGGTGTTGATCTTGAATATACAACAACATGGGATATGGTTTTTAACATGGACCTTTCAAGCAATAAACTTGTTGGAGAAATACCAGTCAAGCTAACCCAACTTGCAATGTTGATGGGTCTCAATTTTTCAAATAATCATCTCAATGGGGGTATTCCACACAACATTGGAAACATGAAAAAGTTATTTTCTCTCGATTTCTCTGGAAACGAATTGATTGGGGTGATTCCTCCAAGCATGGCAGCTTTGAATTTTTTGAGTCATTTGAATTTGTCGTACAACAACTTGTCAGGAAAAATTCCAACAGGGAATCAATTGCAGACCCTTAATGACCCAACAATTTATGCTGGAAACAGCTATCTATGTGGAGCTCCATTGTCAAGAAATTGCTCAAATCATGAAGTCCCCACAATATGGCATAACAACAATACGAAGGTATGGTTTTATGCGGATGTGATGAGTGGTTTTACAACAGGGTTTTGGGGTGTTATTGGAATTTTGTTTTTCAAGAAGCAGTGGAGACATAATATTTTCATATTTGCTAAGAAAACAATAGAGAAGATACAAGTCGTAACAATTGCCAAGATGAAGAGAGAAAGAGAAGCCTGATAGATCCTTGTGAATTTAAGTAGTTTTCCAATGTATATTATAGATGACTTTATTAATGTTGTTTATTACTACTATTGTGCTTAGTTATACTACTATTTAGAGTTATATTTTATGGCATTTGTAATATGGGTGTTGTTTAGAGTTGTGAGTTTGAATTTTTGTTGGATTTTTATATTTTTTGTAATATGGGTGTTCGAAATTTTTGTTGGATTTTGTTTTCATACAGGATGTAGTTGCTAGATTAAATTATATTCATTTTAATTTTCGTAGCTTTTAGGAATAATGTCAAGTTTTGAAAATGGGGTTTTTGGTTTTCCATATGTGCCTGGGTAACAGCCGATCTCGGCTGTTCTAATTTCCTATTCTTTGTTTTGTTCGTTTCCAATTTCTGAGGGTATGATTTCATTCCTTTTTTCTGCTGATTTTTGGTTGTTTGGGATTCCAATTAGGGTATATTGTTTGTGGGTTGTATTATGTTTGGTTTTAGCTGTTTATTGTTGGTTTTTTTCATTTTGAATTTGTATTTCTATTGTCGTTTGTTGGATCTCCAAGCCCAACTCGAACTCTCAAGCTTCTTTCTTCTTTTCAAGCTTTTACAATCCACCAAATGCACCAAAATGGCCTTAGGACACACAAAAACAACCAATGTTTTGATATACAACTTTCTGGGAGTGATGGGGACGATGGAGGCTAAGATAAGATGTTTAAATAAGGTGCAAACCCTCAAATTTAGGGTTTCACTCAAACATCACCTACTCGCCAAGTCAGTCTCCCGACTTGTCGAGTACGTCACTTAAACTGTCTGCAGACCTCGACACTACTCGACAAGTTGGGCATCCAACTCGTCGAGTCCCAGAGAAAAATACAAGAATGCTTGAATTAGATGCATACCAGGAATCAGGTGTTACATCTACTATAACAGTCGGGTCAACTCACAAAAATGAAACCTATGATGGTTGACGCCACGACGTGACACCATCCGACCATTGGAATAAGAAGCACTTAGTGGGCCTCTAGGGACACGACCATCATCCTACCGGGCTGTAGGAACCATTCAACATCCCACTAAGAACTTGCCAAATACAACATTAGCCATACCATTCTCTATGACATGAATCATTTAATAACTTACTATCCTAGTGTAACATATGTGAAAATTGTCATCGATCGTTAACCGCTAAAAGTGACAAACGTCAATAAATTTAATACATAGTATATATCAATCTATGATAGAAATACAAGAGCTCGTATTAAATTAGATAAGAAAAATCAGCCAAATCGTTCAACGAGCTAAAATTTATTGCATCAAAACACACACACACACACACACACATATATATATATATATATATATATATATATATATATATATATATATATAGAGAGAGAGAGAGAGAGAGAGTACACGTCGATGCAATCCCGGAAATATAAAATTATAAAAATTCAACCTCATATGTATTAGTTATGAATTGTATAAAATATAAAAGTCTACCCCACGTAAGAAATTACAACGTCAAAAAGTTATGAAAAGAACAGTTGACATTTAACTAAAGTCACCAAAAGGAGAAAGATAATACTACTCAAAGTAAGAATTTTGAGACAAAGAACGCCTAAATCGGAACACGTATGAGAGAGAGAGTTATGATTTTTATAAAATCATAAAGGCTATAAAATATAGGGTAAAAATGAAAGTTTGAATTAGCCAAAATGACCAAAAGGAAATTTGAAGTGTACGTTGAGACCTACACCAATATATAAGAGTCGTTGAAAACAGTGCTCGTATGCAAGAGTTACAAAATTTTGAAGCTGGTTTTCCATGCCCACGTATGCTTGCGCACAATGCGACGTGCATTTTTACACTCGATTCATCAAGATACAGGATAACGTGACACGAGGAGATGATGACACGTGATAGCTCCCTGTGGCTCACTAGCAATTGTGCGGTGCAAATTGTGCGACGTGTACTAGAAAGTTTGGCTATAAATAGCAAGTTACAACATTCATGTAATGCCCCCTTTCTGGTATGTAATTTAAATAAATTATTTTCATTTCTTAAGGGGTACTCGGCGAGTTTGTAGCCCGACTCGTCGAGTAGAGACGGGATGATCACGTGATTTAAGTTGGCTACTCGACGAGTCCATATGCTGGGACTCAGCGAATCTGCCTGTCTGGATGAAGCCCTAATTTCAAGCGTTTGCACCCTATTTAAACGTATTTATGCGCCCCAAACCAACCTCCATCACCCTTAGATCCTCCTTTACCAAACCCTAGACTCCCTTTTAGCTTTTTGGAGTATTTCTCACCTTGTGAAGGATTTTTGGTGCTTTTTGAAGTTAGAAAAAGAAGAGAGAATTGAGGTTCTCAAGAGGAGCAAAGGAGATTTGAGTTTCTTGTGTCATTCTAGCCTCCATTAAGGTATAAAGCTCGAATTTTTGGCTTGTCATCATATAGATCTTCTTAAAGCTTGCTAGTGTTGCTTCTTTTGCCATTTTCTAGACATAAAGGTTGTTTTATGGGAAGTTAAGATGAAAGGATTTCATATCTAAGCATTTCTGGACTCCTTGAGCTCAAGGTTGCCACCTTTATTGAGCTAAACACCCATTCCAAACCTAGATCTCCTCTTTTAGCTTCTTATTGGGCCTTTTAGCTTCTTATGTGCTTGCATGAACGTAAAGTTGGAAACTTTACGTGTGAAATCGGTCCTCGGAACCCAAATCTATGTATTGGATGCACTTGAATCAAGCAAAATCGACTGTATAGTAATGACATGCCTTGGACTCGGCGAGTTGTTCTTCAGACTCGACGAGTCGAGCTACGAGTCCCCGTTTTTCCCCGATTTGAGAGTTTAGGGTGAATTGGTGAGTGGGGAAGGGACTCGGTGAGTTGGTGTCAGATCTAGTGATGGAGGAACTTGCTGAGTCTACGCTTTGACTCGGCGAGTTCGGTCAACTGAAAGTTGACTTTGACCACGGGTAAAATAGTCATTTTATCCTAAGGGCATTTAGCAGTACCTGATCTAGTGTTTTTGGGATTTGTAGTCGGACAGTTCCGGAGCAGCAGTCAACTAGTTTTGGAGTTAGCATCTCAGCAGCCAGCTTTACGAGGTGAGTTTTCCTTCCAGTAGGAACGGGTCTACGACCATAATGCCGCCCCGTTTAATTAGCAGTAGTTCCGGACTTCGGTTCGATGCAGTACTTCAGTGTGCTTGATGTCTTTGTGATTCAAGCATGTTTTTATGTTATGTGTTCCAGACTTCGGTATGATGCAGTATGCAGTATATGTGTTTATGCTAGTAGTTATGATTAAGCTATGCTATGTTCAGTCAGTTCCGGACTTCGATCCGATGCAGCTAGTTCCGGACTTTTGTCCGATGTAGGGGACAAGGTCCAAGTTAGTTCTAGACTTCGGTTCGATGCAGTTTCCGGACTTCAGTCCGATGCAGAGGGCAAGGCCCTGGTTAGTTCCGAACTTCGGTCCGATGCAGTTTCCGGACTTCGGTCCAATGCAATGGGCATGACCCAATAGTTGTTTATTTGTTATTGTATGATATGTGGTAGTTTAGGGGAGCTCACTAAGCTTTGTGCTTACAGTTTCAATTTTGGTTTCAGGTACTTCCGCTAGCAAGGGGAAGAGCTCGGGTTGATGGCATCGCATACACCACAACTTCAGTTTATTATGGGAGTTTTATTCAGATATTTTGTTATGATTAATATAGTTTTTTTTTTTTTTTTTTTTTTTTTTTTTTTTTTTTGACACAATTACTATGACTTTTGAGTTATTCATTCAATGGTTTTTTTATTATATATGCCATATGATGATGTGATTTTTAGTAATATTAAAACAAAAATTTTTGGGTTGTATTTTGGATTGTTACAATTTAGTTCCTTACACCCGAAAAAGCGCCTATCTTTCTCTCGATCGTCGTGCCACTGATTCCCGAGTGTCTCTCAAGTTCATACTCCCGAATTCTACCCTACATCAGTGGTTTAACGCATCAAGGATGAGTTCACAGTCCCGTTTTCCAAACCTTGTCGAGGGGAATACATGTTAATATACAACTATTTCATAGTTATTACTAATTGTATATTAGCTAGATAATTATCCTCATAACATTAGGATAATATTTTATCTAATTGATACTCTGTTCAATTTTTAAAGATAATATTACGCATGGTTGTTATGTTGACTCAAATTTATAGAAACATCGTACCTAGTTATTATACTGACCGGTTCGCCAGAAAACGCTTTTACCTAGTCGATGTGTTGGCTTGTTTGCCAATAAATGCTTATACCTAGTTGTTACGCTAGCCATTTTATAGTCATTCTTTTGATAAAACTTAGTACCTAGTGGTTATTCTGTCCAAATACGATGGAATTAAAAAAGTTCTATTTGATAGTTATTAATTTGAGAAAAAAGTTCTTTCAAAACATATGTAAATAAGTCAATGACAGTTCATATTCTAAAAATTAGTTATTTATGTACAAATTTATATAAATATTATCTTGAATTTCGGCAATATTCGTATTCCATTTCCATAGACAAGTTTGAGCACCATGTGAAACTTTAAAACTAAAAGATAAAATGAAAGAAAGTTACATTCTACTTTAAAAACAAAAAGTTACAAATATATAAAAAAGTTGGGGCATTCCGAGAATTGAACTCGGGACCTCTCGCACCCTAAGCGAGAATCATACCACTAGACCAAATGCCCATTTCATTTTTGCTTTTAGACTCTTTCATTATGTTCGCTTTATTAGAAAACCCTCCTATAATCTGCAAAACCCTAATAAACTGTGCAGGAAACAAGATCGAATCGAGGAGGGAGAAAGAATTGAGGTGAGAGTATTTTGATTCTTAAGAAAATGTCAAGATCAATTCTTCTTCAACTAGTTCGATCCCAAACACGTCACCATCTGAGTTCCTCCAAAATCCACACAGGTTCTTGTAACTCTTCTTCATTTCCATTAAAGTTTACTATCTGATTGAACTCGTGGATTGTGAATTTTCACTGTTCTTGCTTGTTCATATTTGTATCTACGTAATCACCCTTCTTTCGCACCTCTCAAGCTAGTTTGCGATTGAGATCATTGAGTTTGTTCATCGATGTTTATACACACCTATCATCCAAATTATTTTCTCCTTTCGACATCCGTCGTTTAGATTTGTTTTGAGGAATCAAAAAGGAAAAGAATCACAACAAACTGATAACCACACTCTCTGTTAATCCTGTATTTCTTCCAAATCATGTTTAATTGGATCACAGACTTGCTAGATTCGTTATAATTTGAATATTTGTTATCCGAGATAGATTTTTCAAAGCAACAGTAGTTATTTACCCACATTTTGATCTTCATCTTTCATATTTTTCAACTTCTTCAGGTTTCCACCCTCACAGATTAGCAACATGGCAAATTCAGAAATCTCAAACCACAACACCCCACTTCAACCCCATGAATCATCTTCCATTTACCCAAACAAGATTCGCATCTCAATCAACCACAATCGAAGACAACAACAAGATCACAATTGGACCTAAAAAAGGAATCGAATCAGAGAATCAAGAGAAAGATTCAGGAGTAATCTACCATGGCCCAATCTCAAGCACCATAAAAAAAGTAAAACTTCTTTCTTTATCCACCTGTTGTCTCTCTGTATCATTAGGACCTGTGATCACCTTCATGACATCACCAGACATGAATGTCATCATAAAAGGTGCAGTTGCATCCTCTGTTATATTCTTGAGTGCTTCCACTACTTTGGCTCTTCATTGGTTTGTGAGTCCGTATATTCATAAGCTGAGGTGGCAGCCGGGTTCTGACACGTTTGAGGTGGACATGATGACGTGGCTAGCAAGTTTTGTGACTAAAACTATTAAGTTTTCAGATATTAGGATAGCTGAAACTAATAGACCTTATGTCACGTTTAAGGCAAATGGGGAGTTTTATTTTGTTGATGCTGATCATTGCCATAACAAGGCACTTTTGGCTAGATTGACACCTACTGCAAAACCAATGCCAGATTCGGCTCTTAAGAACTTGTGATTTCTGGAATCTTCTAGAATCAGTTGGATATGTTTATGATGAAATAAATTTGGATACAAATGATGGGATATTGTTGTTTAGAAACGGGGTTTTGTTTATTTTGTTGTTTATGTTGTTTTGAAAAGAGGCTTGGATTTTGGTATTTTTTAGCAGTTATATTGAGATGAATTATAGCAGTTGACATGAATGAGTGGGTTATTCTTTTGTGTTTTATTACTTTTCATGATTGGCTTGATTGCTTGTGTGTGTTAATTGCTAAACAACATAATATTTCAGTATTTGTAAGTAAATGAGAATATTTATTTTTAATAGCTAAAATATATGATATTTGTAATAGGTAAACAATATAGCATATGTCGATATTCAACTCTTATTTTTACCTATTATAAGATTATATGCTTAAGGATGCTTCTTTTTAAATAAATGTTTAGGAACTTAATTGCTGATTTGAGGAAAGTGTGATGGCTTTTGGGGTTCATTTTTATTTGGGGGTCATTTTTGAATGATCACAACATAAAGGTGTTAATCATAAATTGACCAATCTCATGGGAAGCTATCACATACTAGTTTTCGGGGAACCCACAATAAAGTCTTCGGAGTTTGGCTTTATTAACGTAAAACCCTTTTTTTTTTTTTTTTTTTTTTTGAAATTTAGCATATAAAACCGGTAAGCGTTTGTAAAAAAAAAAACCATTGTTCTCAGCTAATGCCAGTTTCAAGGTTTTTTTTTGAAAATTTTAAGGATATTTCCTGAAAATAAACGACTATAAATGATTCTTTTATTAATAGGGTTAAAGTTTAAAGATTTTTTTGAATTTTTTTCATTTTAAATCTACTAAATTAATGAAAAAAAAACCTATATTTATTTATTAAAAAACTCAAAATAAAGATATCTTCTACTTCATTTTCACTAAAAAAAAGCTTAATTTTATGTATTGAACAACACGGTAATAATAATTTATGTCATTTTAGGTTTTTTTTTTTTTGATTTTTTTAATAAATAACATAACAAAAATCATAATTAGCATATGCTTTTATAACTATTATAGCTTTTATATTTATTTAGAAACTCAAAATAAAAATATGTATGATTGTTTATTTTCAGAAAAGTACTTAAATTCCAGAAAAATCCTAAAATCCAGCACTAGCTGCGAACAATGGTTTTTTTGCAAGTGTTTACTATTTTTTAGGCCTAATTTTGGAATTTGTCCGGCTTAGCCACTAAAAAAATTTACTTATACGATTTAAACATTGAAACTTTTGATTTTTTTTTTCTAAAACCCATATTTGTTTTATTGGTGTCTGCTACAAAAAAACTTTCAAAGGTTATTATGATAATAAAACAAACGTCTAATGATTAAATGAAAAAAATCAAAATATAATGATTTTTTTATGAAATTTTCCTTCTAAAAAATATAAAAAATTTGCAAAAGCATTTTTCTTTTGAAAAATCATTCATATTTTCATTTTCTTTACATTTTGTCAAAATAATTACTATTTTACAAACAACCATGAAATGGTCATATTATATTTAGAACAACTGAAATTTAGTTTTTGTGTATAATCATTCGATATTATTTACAAATAACCATAAACTGAGCTCACAAAATATAATTTGACATCATTTGCTATTGTAATTGACACAAGGGGTGGATTTGGCGGAGATGGAAGTGTTGGCGGCAATGTTTATATGGTGGCAGCTGTGGCGTGAACATTGCTGGTGGAAACGGAACTAAAATCTTTTTTATGGGATAACACAAAAAATTCCAATAAAAGATAATAAGATAATTTTCTTTTTTTAATTTATGATTTCCTTAGATATAACAAATTATCACAAAAATCTTACATTTTAATGTTGACCTCTTCATTTATCTATTTTTCGAAAACGTTCCATTACTCTTTCAATCTTAACAAATCAAAACATCATTCATAAAATCACCACTCTTTTATTACCAAATCTTGTCCATACATTGAATGTAGTTGTGTATATAGTGACCTAATTAATTCCACCCTTCATCTTTGGCATTCCCTGATCCTATTACCCTTTTCATTTTGTTGGGTTCATTAATTATAGTTTGCACCATCTATATATAAAAAAATAAGATGATTTGTATACAATAATTTTTCTTTATAGACAACAATTGATGTTTTAAAATATTGTACTGTACAACTTTATAATACATAAATTGTTATGTATAACAAAAAATTATTATTTACAAATCACTTCCTTTAAAAAGAATCTAATATTTTAATACCAATGGAAAGAAAATAAGGGGTAGCACTCCCATGTTAAAACTTAAAACTTAAAAAATATCTTATAAACTTAAAAGCTTTTTTTTGTCTTTAAAAAAATCAAAAAAACTTTTTTATGTATTGTATATTTATAAAAACAATCTTTTTTTTCAAATACATATGAGGTCAAATCAAACACTATCTTAATTTTCTACTATTATTTATTTAATTTTGGCCACAAAGTATTATTGTACCGTACAAGCAGCTATTGCACAATGGAAAGTTGGAAACTATTCACTCAGCCTAAACAAGAGTTTGGATGTGGAATTTCAACCTCTAACTGAAAATGGCGCCTTGCTTCTGCTCCTTGAATCCGTTGCCATCTTCTTCAACATCCATTTCCCAATTCATATCAGATCAACCTTACCTTTCCATTTTAGAAACAAAATGTTCTACCATTAAAGATCTTCAAATCATACATGCCCAAATCATCAAGACAGGCTTAATCAAAGACACCATTGCCGCCTCTCGCCTGCTGTCGTTTGCAGCCACCTCACCTGCTGCGGATATCAGCTATGCTTTCAAGCTCTTCAATCAAACTCAGAACCCTAATCTTTTCACTTGGAATACAATCATCAGAGGTTTCTCCAGGAGCTCAAACCCACGCATGGCGATATCTTTGTTTATTGATATGTTGATTCATTCATCTGTAGACCCAGAAAGACTCACGTACCCATCAGTCTTCAAGGCTTATGCAGAACTTGGTCTGGCAGGAAATGGAGCTCAACTTCATGGTAGAATTTTGAAATTAGGGTTACAATTTGATGTTTATATACGTAACACCATCATACACATGTACGCCAATTGTGGGTATTTTGGTGAAGCAATTCAACTCTTTGGAGATGGTGAGGATATGGACGTTGTTGCTTGGAATACAATGATTTTGTCTCTTGCAAAATTTGGGAACATAGACAATGCACGTGATCTGTTCGATGAAATGCCTCACAGAAACTCTGTTTCTTGGAATAACATGATAAGTGGGTATGTAAGAACAGGGAAGTGGGTTGAAGCATTGGATCTTTTTAGAATCATGCAAACAGAGAAGATGAAACCAAGTGAGTTCATCTTGGTGAGTTTATTAAATGCTTCAGCAAACTTAGGAGCATTGAATCAAGGTGAGTGGATTCATGATTACATAATAAAGAACAAAGTGGAACTTAATGTAATCATGATTACTTCACTAATAAACATGTATTGCAAATGTGGGAGCATTGAAAGAGCATATCAAGTCTTTGAATCCTCCCCTATAAAGGGATTATCATCTTGGAACTCAATGATCATGGGTCTTGCAATCCATGGCCATGGGAATGAAGCAATCAAGTTATTCTCAAAGCTCGAATCATCTATCTTTAACCCTGATTCTGTAACTTTCATTGGTGTTCTAATGGCATGTAGTCATTCAAGATTGGTTGAAAAAGCTAAATTTTATTTCACTTTAATGAAAGAAAGATATAAAATCGAGCCATCGATTAAGCACTATGGTTGCATGATAGATGTGTTAGGAAGATCAGGGCTACTTGAAGAGGCTAAAATTGTCATTTTAAGTATGCCCATGAAACCAGATGGTGTTATATGGGGGTCTCTTTTGTCATCTTGTAGGATTCATGGAGATGTGAAAATGGGGGAGTGGGCTTCAAGGAATTTAGTTGATTTAGGTGAAGGAGAGAGTTGTGGGCATGTGCTTTTGTCGAATGTTTATGCAAGTGGGGGTGAGTTTGAAATGGCGATAAGAGAAAGGATGTTGATGAAAGAAAAAGAGATAGAAAAGATTCCTGGGTGTAGCCTAATTGAAGTGAATGGGGAAGTTCATGAATTTGTTTCTAGTGGAAGGTTGCATCCTAAATTCAAAGAAATCCATAATTTGTTAAAAAACTTGACATTGATGTTACATGATGTTAAATTTTTTTAATTTATAAGAATTGACGTTAGGAGAAGATTTTTTTTTTTATTATAGTATCCGACATACTTGAGGTGGGTTGAGCTCCTTTGTATGTTAACTTTTTTGCAATTACTCTAAAAAATTCTCAAGAAACAATGTTGAATAAGAAATTGGGTGGAAGAGGATCACAACATATAAAAGTTAGTTTTGTTGTCACACACCAATAAATGACGGTATTTGCTTTCTACAAAAAGTCTTAAATATTTCACATCAATAACCAATGATATTTGGGATAAAAAAGATAAGGTTTATGTCATGTTTTTGCAATCAATTTTGTTAGAGGTGAAAATGCTCTACAATGATAATTGATAGTTATATTAGAATATTCATTTGTATATAAAAAAAACTATTACTTTCTTTCATATAAATAGAGAGGAAAACTAGGACAGAGTGTGCACATCATTATAGTTATAATATATAAAGACAATGTGGCTCTCTCAAGCCACTTGTTTTTCATGTAACATCTTAGTTGTTTTTTTAAACTGTCGTTTGACTCAGCATATCATATTATATCATATTCCGTACTTACCAATGGTTCACATAATGTCAATTATTTGTATAAGAACAATACTCATTTTTCTAGGAGGAAATGATCCTAATTTGCCGTTTATCTTGAAAATTTTGGAGTTTTTATCCACAAATTTCTCAGATCTATGTCTAAAAATTGTTTGATGAGGTTTTTTTTTGACTTGCTACCAAAAATAAAGATTATGTTGCTATTTTTCATCAAACTTTCTATTGTTCATATGAGTTTACAAAATTTTATGTCGTTGAAAAAGAAGAACATGTATTTTGTTTCAGATCTCTTTGATCTATTTTTATCCATATATTTTTATTTTATGGAATAAGAATAAAAACATTTGGGCACAAAGGAGACATGTTTTCTATAAAAGCAATATTCAACAAATAAATTTTAAGACCATCTTTACTTAAAATTTATACATTGTCTAAAGGTATAGTTCTCCTTATATTTTTGTGTGGTTCATATTCATGTAGAAAAAGTCACTGGCTATCAAATTGCAAAACATAGGCCTGAAGGGAATGGGCTCGACAACCACCATGATATGCTCGACAAACACCACCCCTCCATGGCGGCATGCCAAAGAAAGAGAAAGCCTATATCAGTAGGTTACGTTACATTACCGGGGGTATATATATATATATATATATATATATATATATATATATATATATATATATATATATATATATATATATAGAGAGAGAGAGAGAGAGAGAGAATGATCCTCCATATATGGATCACCACCCACTTAGTGCTCGAACCGCCACGTACTGGTGTTGAAACGAAATCATAACTCAACCAGGTACGACCATACCTGACCTTGGAATGTATACGCAAAATGATCCTCCATATACGGATTACACGAATCCCATGAGAATCCTGAATTCCAGTTTAAGACCTCTGAAATTCCCAATTATAACCACTTAACATTAAGGATTCACACGAGAGCATACGCAACTACCGACTTATGATCCAATATACACTCCTTGCCTGCTATCCCAAACGACAATCTGGCACCTAGATTTCCTATATCCCAAGAATACGACCCTTGCTCGTATAAAAATGTACTCATACCACATCAATTCACCTGCACACAATGGCGCTAACATACAGTTGCCAACCACTGCGACCAACAGACCCCGAGCTAAGTCTACAACTTAACTCTGGAAGTCACAAGCCTGCTTAGTCTTCTGAACTCGAAACACTGAAAGGACATGATCCTTGCCACAGATAGCAATAATCCAACCCATCAATCAACCACTCAATTCCTATCTGAAATCTCTAAACTGATCATAACTATCGCTTCCTTCTGGAATCTTGCTACTCAAGGCACGACCTCGAGCAAAAACCTCGAGACCTCCCAACCACCATACTCATCCAGGTCTGAACCATTCAACCTACACCGATATCGCCACTGGGGCCCAAACAATTACCAGACCCGTCCTCATGCCTGAGCAACCATAACCAAAAGATCAACAAGTACAGAACCACTACCATGAATCATGGTATCAGACCATGCCATCACCCTGACCAACCCTTAGAATCCCTGAAACTCTCCTCGATTCGAGTATGGATACTGTGCTTCCAGTAGTACGAGCCCAATACTACCTTCCACACATATCCATAATTTCGATCATCTCAGGTCCTCAAAGACCTACTCAAAAATATCCTCTTGATACTTGCTCAACAGCGAAACAACCGCACTAAAATACTTCCTAGGTTCTCCTAGGATTCCCTACCTCCCCTGCCTTCAGTTGTTGAAGGACTCCAATAAATGTCAGCTAACCACTTTATGAATACAGTTACATGCAACAAAACTTAAATAATCTTTTGACTAAAGGACCCAACCCTACAACGGTTAGACTCAAACGAGAGCTACACAATAGAGCAAAATCCTTCACCCTAATATTATTTAACCTCTATAGCATGTAACTTAATGTATTCATTTAGTAGTTAGCCCACATCAATGTAGGTCCCACAAAGCACAAAGTAAGCAACATTTGAGCAGAGGAGCTGATTGGCACTAAAGCATGATAAAATAAGATAGATTCTCATACGAATTCTCAATCTCAAACTCCTAGCATCTCGAGCACACCTTCCCCATGTCCTCACTCTCTCAAGAGTGGATAATCATTACTTACGCTGACCTGCTATGAACCACACCCATTCTAAGGAACCACCGCATCCTCATCCAATAATGCAATTGGCCGGCTGACCCCACACGACTTACCATACCATTAACTGCCATGTGAATCTCATTGGTGCTAGATGACTATCACATGAATAAAATCACATGCACCACAATTTAAATAATCTTAGGCTAAAAGATTCAATCCTACAACGGTTAGACTCAAACAAGAGTTACGCAGCATGACCAAACCCCTTATCCTAAGATCATTTAAACCATGTAGCATGTGACTTAGCTTATCCACTCAATAGCCAGTTACACACGAAAGATTCATACAACAATTAATCAGGGATTATATAAAGGATAAGGCATCATATAATCATGCAATTCCTGAAGATCCCTAACCTATCACATGCATGTTGTTCTATCATATCACATGATTAAATAACAGTGTGATAATTTGGGGTCTACTTATTGGTTACAACTGATCGTACATAGATTCTTTGACACACAGATAGCTTTTTTAAGTTGCGATGTTTGCAAACCAAAAAGTAGCTTTATAAGCTAGCTTTTTAGAAAGTTACTCAAACTAAAGTTTCAACACGTTTATTAAACTTTTTAAAGTACTCCCAAATATACATGTTATTTTATGTCATTTTATATACTTCAATTAGCTTATCAGCTAACTTTACCAAACGTCATTTTCTATCAGCTAACAACTAGCAACTAGCTTTTCATCTAGTCTGTAAAATATAGCTTGATAAGCATATTACATATAGATTATTTTTCATGATACCTGTTGATTATTGATAGTGAATGGTCCCTTTGATTGGCATTCAGGGCTGGAACCATTCTCATTTATGAATATGAACTTTGGATGAAAGGCCCTAAAACTAATCCACATTTCTTACAATCATACTTCACTTCATGAAACTATGGAAAAACTGTGGATCTTCGGGACACAATTCAGCCTAAATGGATCATTATGTTTAAATGTTTTTTCCTGAAAGAAAAACGCAAGATGGATATGCGTACACTTAACTAAGTCAACATGTTTTGTAGTTTGGATATGTCATACCTTAGGCTGTGAATGTGATGATAAACAGGTAGGTTGGTCACCATGACAAAGATTTTATGATGGATTTTTTTGTTGTTTGGATATAAATTGAACACAAATTTACCAACAACTTCCATAACCTCAAGAACAGATGAGGTGCCTCTAACAGCCAACTGCTGATAACTGGTAGGGTTAAGAGAAGTTGTTTGTAATTAATCTCCAGACTGAACTTGTGTTATGAAAATATGAATAACGTAACATCCTTAAAACTCTTGAAAAATTTAAACTTTTAAAACAAACCATTAATCATACTTTTTTCACAAAAATAGTTTTCAAACATGATCATTATCAGATTTTTTTTCCCAAAATTATAAAACAAAACTCGAGGAGGTGCACGATCATGTTTTCGCCTTCCTGCAATCCTTTGAGGTAACTAAAACATAATCCAATACTTAAATCTCCATTTCAAAGTACTTATTAACATTATAGCAATACTATTGCTATGTCTAAAACTCTTTAGACAATCTATAATTTAATTCATGACAGTCTTGATTCACTACTTACTTCTAAAAGTACAAAATTCCTGTGGATTTTGAATAATCGAATTATTCAGGAAGTAAAACATGCAAAATGAAACGCAAGAGTAAAAAATCAACAAAAAGATAGTAAAAAACTCATAAATAATTTTCTATTTTTTAATCACCAAAAGTTAATTACATTTACTTCGTTACAAGTTTTAAACTAGCTATATAACTACTAAAACTAATATCATCTCTCAAACCAATGCTCCTGGCATGCTGAATGTGTTTAGCCCTACTCAGACCCTTTGTGAGTGGATCTGCAGGATTCTCTTCAAATGATACCCTCTTCACTACGAGGTGACCTTCTTCTACTTTAAGTTTGATGAAATGGTGTTTTATATCGATATGTCTTGATGTGCAATGATCTCTTGGTTCCTTTATCAAGGCAACCATTCCTTTATTATCACAAAAATTACCATTGGCTCCTTAATGGATGTGACAACCCGATATTTCAACTACATGTAAACGACCTAAAAAGTCAAGTATTGTAACCACGTTAGTTGTAATAAAATTTAATTCGAAAATAAAATATCCAAAAATCACTAATTAAATTACCTTTTATGATAGATGTCATTAAACCGTGATCGTATGTAAAAAGAACGCTCAAATCCGACTTCGTATAAGAAAGTTAAGAATTTTTCAAGTTCGGCTTAACGACAGACGGCTAAAAACTCGAATCAG